AATTTCTTGGCAACCTGTGTATAAATCTGGTCAGGGCCTCACTGTGAAGTCTGAAAAAGAGACAGATGGAACAGTCGGCCAGAAAGCCCCAGTGACAGAAACAACTATTCCCTGGAAGGGGGGGGGGGAGGGCAGAAAGACAACTTTGTTTATTTTTACAAAATTTGGAGAACAACAGTGTCCCCCAGCTGTCTCCACAAGATCAAACCAGCTCCAAATGGGAGTTGCTAGGTATTTGCCAACACTTGAAATCAAAGCCCAATAGGCCTGATGGCCCTGTTTCTTGTCTTTCCCTCCCTTTGTATTTCAAGATGACAATTTCATTTGTTCACTGATGCAGGCTGTCCATTCAATAAGCATTCTGATTCATCTATGAACTTCAAACTCCACTTCTAATCTAAATCAGAACACAAAAGTACATGACCCCTTCACTTCTTGCTAGGCCCTCTGGCTCATTCAAAGCAAACACCCGAAGGCAGTCTCAGAATGACATTTAATCAAGGGGTCTGCGTTTTCAGCCTAAGGCCATGCCCTCCAAAGTCCAACTCAGGGATCATCAAACTGTCAACTCGCCCACTTCTCTGGGACTGATCACACACAAGCTCCCCAATCCTGCCTTCCCCTCGCCAGCCCTCAGGGAACACCAAAGCCTGTTAGGGGGTTGGTACCTGTAACTCCAAAATTAGGGTTAGGGCACAGGCCTGGGACAGGGTACCAAATTTGGCCTTTGTTAGGGCCTCTGAGAAACGGATAGAAAAAGTCAGTTGTGGGAAAGAAACATCTTTAGGCTTCATCTAAAAGTCAAACCTCTATGAACTTCCATTTAACTGTAACAGAGCCAAGTGGAAAAGTTGCTTCCCTCCTTATTTATTAAAGAAAGACAATGAACAGGAATAAGAAAGGAAATAATTCTTTTGGGAGCTAGTTCACCGCTCTCCCATCCTGCGTCCATGGGCGATTCTTGGAAACACGGACACAGGGACCATGTGCAAAAATGGCATGCTGTTGGCTCGCGTGGCTTCTCCGTTGTATCAGAGAAGCAAGAGCCAAAGTGAGAGCGTCACTTCTGAGCCACCTGGTCTCTGCCCAGGAGCTCCCACCAGAAGGAAGCAGGCTTCTCCAGGCTGCTGCACAGGGACAGACAGGAAGAACATCTAAACTCTCTTTCAGACTTATAGAAAAAGAAAAAACAAAACACCCACACAGTGGGGAACAATTTCCCCACTGTGTGGGTGGTGGGGCCCCGAGAGCTGTTATCTGCAAAGGGCACTTCTGGGGGTTACCCAGCTGTTACCGCGGTGTGGATTCCACTCGAAAACCTCAAGCCAAGCCGTGGGGGAATGAACACCAAGAGACAATTTTTCCACTCTATGAAAATGACTTGGCTTTACAAAAATAAATTAAAACACCATCATAATAAATGAAATGTGTGCAGGACCTGTTGTCAAATGCACAGTCGGTCACGGTCGATGCTCTTCCTTGCTTGGCACATCTATGTCATCAGAATATGACTATGTCGTTCTCCACTTCCTGACCCCTCGGCACCTGACCCCACGTGACGTCTCACACACAAACGCACACACAGACACACACTCGCATACTACACAACCAAGTCTGGCGTTACTGGTCTAGCAGGAGTCAGAGGCTGAACCAGCATGTCTGAGGGCAGGGCTGGGAGTTGTTGGGTGGACAAGTGTTAGTACAGGAATCAGGGGAAAGGATGCTCCAGCTTTCTTCATCATAACAAGGGAGACTTGATGGCTGGAGCAAAAATGCAGATGTATAAAAACAAAACCAGGCATCCTTTGGGCCTTAAGTCCCTCTTTTGCCACACAAGGGCTCCCCTGTTCCGGGCTGCTCTGCTCCATGTGTCTATGGCAGCCTGAGAGGCACTGCCTGCCCACCACGCTCATCGGATTTAGTGATTCCTCTCCTCCTCCGCATACTCACATCCTTGAAGTCCGTCCCCCCCACTCCTAAGTGAACCCATCCTCCCAATGCTGCCATCTGGAGCCACATTCACCTCCTCCCTTCCCTTCGTCCCACCTCCATCTACTACAGGATTCTCGCACCATTGCTCTTGGCCCTGGCCCTCCTGTTAGATTTTGGGAAACGGACCTGGTTCTTAAAACCTCAAGTCCCAAACCTTGCTTCCAAAATTATCCTTACCCACACGAAGAGGACCTAGGAAGCCCTTAATTCCAACATCTGGGTTCTGGGTAGACATGACAATAGAAATGGAAACCATTTCTCAATAGCAACTGTGAGCCTTTGAAGGGGACCCAGAACTATATACACATAGGATACAACCCCATTTTAAAAAGTAATCAACAGAAGAACAGTATGGCGATTCCTCAAAAAACTAAAAATAGAATTACCATATGATCCAGCAATTCCACTTCTGGGTATATACCCAAAAGAATTGAAAGCAAGGTTTCAAGGAGATTTTTAAATGCTCATGTATATAGCAGCATCGTTAACAACAGCCAAAGGCAGAAGCAACCCAAATGTCTATTGACAGATGAAAGGATTAGCAAAAAGTGATATATGTATTTATTTATCTATCTATATAGATATATAGACACACACACACACACATATGCAATGGGGTATTATTCAACCTTAAAAAGGAAGGAAATCTGACACATGCTACAACATGGATGAATCCTGAGGACATTATGCTAAGTGAAAGAAGCCAGACACAAAAAGACAAATACTGTGTGATTCCACTTACATGAGGATCCTACAGTAGTCAAATTCAGAGACAGGAAGAATGGTGGTTACCAAGGGCTGGAGGCAGAGCGGGTGGGGAGTTACTGCTCAATGAGTATTGAGTTTCACTTTGGGAAGACAAAAAAGTTCTAGCGATGGATGTGGTGATAGTTGCACAAGAATGTGAATGTACTTACTATCACTGAACTGTATACTTTTTAACCTTTTTTAAGGGTTAAAATAACAAATTTTATGTTAGCTGTATTTTACCAAAAAAAAAAGGTAATCAACAGAAAGATTGAAACTTCAATTAATCTAAATAAACTAGCAGAGACATAACCAGAAACCCACACCCTTCATCTTCTTCCTTCTCTCTAAGGACAGAGGTGGGTGACAGAGCCAGGCAGCAGGAGGGACAGAAGAGTCTCCACCAACCCAGTGAGGTGTTGGTAACCATATGGAAAGATGCCAGGTGCCTGCCCTGGCTGAGGGCAGGGCGAGCATGAATATTCTCCACAACACAGGCCTGACCCCATATAAGCACGGGGGCAAAGGCACCATCCAGCCTTCCGTCAGGTCTACCCTGTTCTGCTATCTCACCTGATTTCCTGATTCGAAAAGGCTGAGAGTTGGCAAAAGTCCCTCAGCTTCACCAAGTATTAAAAAGAAGATAGTAGGAAGGGAAAAATGAAGGGGAGGAAATCGGAGGGGAAGACGAACCATGAGAGACTGTGGACTCTGAGAAACAAACTGAGGGTTCTAG